GACTTAATGTGCCAGGATAAGTTGGTCCCCAGGGGGCACCTCCCCTCTTTCTAAGGAGAAGGAGAGGGGAGGGAGGGGCTAGGAGGAAGAGGGCTGCAATCAGGATGTAAAGTGAATAAATAAAACTTTATTACAAAAATAAATTGTTTCTCATAATATTTGACCATAGCAACAACAAAAACCTAATACAGACATTCTGTTTGCTAGATAAAAAATTACTTAAGCTGTTTACAGACTCAATGTAACCCCTATTAAAATTATGACGATGTTTTAATTCTGCATTAGTAGAAAAATATACCATAAATCAATATAAAATCTGAAGAACACAAAGTTGACAGAATTCATACTTCTTGGTTTCAAAATGTACACATATATATATTAAAACAGAGTGATATTGATATAAAGATAGGCATTCAGACCTATGAAATGGAATATTACTCAGAAATACACATTTTAAGGTGATTTTTAACAAGGATGCACAGGAACAGTCATTGGGAAAGAATAGTCTCTTCACCAATTGGTGTTGGGAAATTAGATATTTTCAGCCAAAAGAATGAAGTTAGAGCTTCAAAATAAAAATAGAAATCTTTGATTTCTATTAAATTATTGAAGATAGTGTCTAAAACTATAAAAAATTTAGAAGAAAATATGGGGAAAATTCATGTTTATAGATCTGACAACGATTTCTTTTTAAATATCTAGATCGCGCTCACGTTAATTTTATAATTCGACCAGACAATTCTTTGGCATTGCATAACTGACATTCTTGTGCAACCGATTCCCTTCTATCATCTCTGAAGCTCCCACTCTTAAATGATGGCCTCCCTTTCCTCCCTCTCCCAGTAGCTGCTGAACACTGTTTTCTGCACAGGCAACAATAACAGCAAAGGAGATTAATTGAATTTCATCAAAATGAAAAGTTTTAGACAAGCAGGGTGAAAAAGCAATGCACAGAATGAGAGGAAAAATTTCTAAAGTGTATATTTGATAAGCTATTTATAGAATATTTAAATTACTCTTAAAACTTAGTAGCAACATACCCAATTTAAAAAGTCCAAGGACATATGCCCAGGAATGGTATAGCTGGATCTTGAAGTAGAACTATTCCTAATTTTCTGAAAAAGCACAAGATCGATTTCCAAAGTGGTTGTACAAGTTTACATTCCTACCAGCAATAGAGGTGGGTTCCTTTTCTCCATAACCTTTCCAGCATTTGTCATCCCTTGAGTTTTTTATCTTAGCCATTCTGATGGACATAAGGTGGAATTTTGGGGTCATTTTAATTTGCATTTCCCTGATGACTAACTAAGGACATTGAGCATTTCTTTAAGTGTTTCTCTGTCATTCGATATTCCTCTGTTGAGGATTCTCCCTTTAGCTCTGTACCCCATTTTTAATTGGATTACTTGTTTTCTTGATGTTTAACTTACTAAGTTCTAAGAGGAGCAGGGGCTATCTGTGACATGGACTCAGTGGCTGGATCTTTGATCAACTCCTGGCAAGGTGGCCTAACTAGGCCACAGAGAAAGAGGATCCAGATACTCCTGATGAGACCTGATAGACCTAGGGTAGGATAATAGGGGAGGAGGACCTCCCTTATCAGTGGACTAGGGGAGGGATATAGGGGGAGAAGAGGGAGGGAGGGTAGGACAGGGAGAAGATGAGGGAGGGAGCTACAGCTGGAATACAAAGTGAATAAATTGTTAATAATAATAATAATAAAACTTAAAAAATAAAAGAAAAAGTCCAAGGACTTGATTAGATATTTCTCAAAAGAAGATACACAGCTGACCAATAAGCTCATGAAAAGATGCTCAACACATCACTAATAATAGGGAAATGGAAGTAAAACCTAACAATATCTGATCATCTCTACTAACTATACACTATAGCTTGAATTTTTATTTTCTTTAAAACTCATGAATAAATTCTTGCCAACATAAGGGCACTGAAATGATGAGGACACAAATGCGCTGTGTCATTATCTAGGGACTGGATTCATTATTGCAGGATTATACTTTTTTTCCCTACCTCTCTTTTCCCTTCTGTCATGTTATGATGTAGCAGAAAGCATTTGCTAAATAGCAGCACTTTGACATTACATATATCCCTGAATCCAGAACCATGGGAGGTAAGTTTCTGACCATTATAAATCATCTTATCTGTGGTATTCTGCTATAGCAACCCAAAACAAACAGGTGGCTCTTGTTTAAAAAATAAAACAAAATGAAACAAAAGTAAAACCAATAGTAAAGTTGTCTGAAATCTGGAGCTTTTGTTCACTGTTAGTGGGAGGATAAACTCATGAGCTGCTGCACAACATTTCCTCAGGAAAAAAAAAAAAAACTGAATCATCTTATGACCTACAAGTGCTACTCCTAGTGTACACCAAAAGAATTAAAAGTGGAAACTTTGAACAGGTGTCTAATTCTATGTTCAAAACAGAATAGCTAGGAGGAATACACAACCCAACCTTAGTCTATCAACAGATGAGTAAATAAGCAAAATGTGGCAATATAAAAAGTGGAGCATTATTCAGATGTAAAAGAAAGTTCTAGCACAAAAGTTACATGGATCTTAAAAAGATTTAGTTTTAAAAGGATTTAGCTATATGAAGTAAGTAAGACACAAAAGGACGAATGATGCATGAACTAGTTGTAGGAAGTACTTAGAACAGACAAAATTATCAGGGGAAACAAGGAAAACAGTGTTCAGCAGCTACTGGGAGAGGGAGGAAAGGGAGGCCATCATTTAAGAGTGGGAGCTTCAGAGATGATAGAAGGGAATCGGTTGCACAAGAATGTCAGTGTATGCAATGCCAAAGAATTGTCTGGTCAAATTATAAAATTAACGTGAGCGCGATCTAGATATTTAAAAAGACACGTCAAACATTTAAAAAATAATAGTACTATAGTTTTAAAAAGATCATCCTGAGTGAGGTATCCCGGAAGCAGAAAGACACACATGATATATACTCACTTATAAGTGGATATTAGACATATAATATAGGATAAACATACGAAAATCTGTACACTAAAGAAGCTAAGCAAGAAGGAGGACCCTGGGTAAGATGATCAATCCTCATTCAGAAAGGCAAACAGGATAGACCAAAACAGGGAACAGGACAGGAGCCTACCATAGAGGGCCTCTGAAAGACTCTATTCAGCAGGGTATCAAAGCAGATGCTAAGACTTATAGACAAACTTTGGGCAGGGAATCTTAGGAAAGAATGGGAAGATGAAAGACCTGGAGGGGACAGGAGCTCCACAAGGAGAGCAACAGAACCAAAAAAAAAAAAAAAAAAAAAAAAAAAAAAAAAAAAAAAAAAAAAAAATCTGGGCCCAGAGGTCTTTTCTGAGACTGATACTCCAACCAAGGACTATCATGGAAAAAACAAATCTGACACAGACTTCAAAGGAGAAAGAGGGCTGGAATACCTGTGACTTTATGTACAATGGAAAGATGGGTAAGCTGTCTTCTCCCCAGCTGAAGAAGCTCTGCTTATAGCTCACTTAACCATCACCCTCTCTTAGCCCCTAAATGGGGATGAGAGAAGGAGGAACCCTGTTACCCCTTCCTACAAATTGAAACACATGATGATGTGTTTCAAGTGTACCTACAATTTTGTACCAAGAACTCAGATATATGACTGAAATTATGTAATTCCCAGCAGGGGAACACCAAAAGTCTCTTCTTATTTAAAGAGTTTTTTATTTTTTTATTTCATGTGTCTCTATGTGTGTGCCATGTATTTTCAGGTATCTACAGGACCAGAAGAGAGTGTGAGATCCTCTGAAGTTGGAGTTATAGGTGGTTATGAACCATTCCACATGGGTAATGAGGATCAAACTGGAGTCCCTCACAAGAACAGGACTTTCTCTTAAACACTGAGTTATCTCTCCATCCCCATCCTCACCTAAAGCTTTTTACACAACATACAACTCATAGCTACTGGTGGAACAATTAATTATAGCTAATCACTCCTTAATGTAAAACACATGACCACTAGGAGAATGGTAAAGTATGGTATATACTATGCAACTGTTATGAGATTAAATCTAAATAAACCCAATCTAAGACATTAAGTGGGAGGAGCAAATCAATGGAAAATGTATGTAGTTTGATATACTTTTGCTTTAAAAAAAATGTGGGCTGAAGAAATAGCTCAGGGGTTAAGCACTTGACACATGAGAGTAATGATCTGAGTTTGGATTCCCAGACACCTACATAAATATAGGCAGTCTACCTGCATTTTTAGCCTTGAAAGGTGATGGGATTCCTAGACACTCAAGAGGCTGGCTGTATTTGTGAGCTCTGGGTTTTATTGAGACATCCTGCCACAGTGACTAAGGTAAAAGAGGGACTGAGAATGATTCCCAACATCAACCTCAGTCTTTTACAAGCACATGCATACTCCAATACATGTGCCTCCACATACATGCAAAAAGACACACACACAGACCACATAAAATAATGAAAAAAGGAAAGTAGGTTGATGTACAAAAATAAGTAAAAATATTAGTAGCAACCTTAAAAATATTAGTAGCAATTAACTTTGGCAACATTTTTATATCATTTTTTTATCATTTTTATATCATTTTTATATTTTTTATATCATTTAAATCTACTAAAATAAATCTATGTCTAGCAATATAGAAAACTTAAAACTTATTAATAAAAATAAAATACTAGAAAAACATTCATTTTACATTAATTTATTTAAAAAACTGTTAAATTCAAACCAACAAAATGTTTTAGAAAAATGGAATAAGGATATGAATAAATGACCGTTGGACCTAAAGGCAAAGGTCACTTGAGTTGAGGATTTGGACAGCATTATACTTAAACACCTAAAATCAAAAAATGATTTTAAAATGTAAATTTAAAAAGCTAGGCCTGATTTTTTAAAAATGAAGAAACAAGACATCCTTTTTTTTTTTTTTTTTACCCATGTCTTACAGAACTCTGAACTATATCATTAGGATAAAGCACTATCAAACCTGGGTAATTGTTAACTGGAGACTTGGTAGGATGAGTAGGCATAGAACCTAGAAAAATAAAATGAGTCTATCAATTCATTTGACTTATTAGTATAAAACTATGGATTTAATTCTATTATTGACATTTTCAAAAAGATTAAAAATACGTATTTTCTGTTCTTTATAATTCTACTTCTAGGGATTTAGTCTATGAACGTTTGATCTACGTATAGAATTGCACAGGCCTATGTACAAGAATGTGTAGTACAGGTTTGCTTTTTACAAATACAAATACTATAAGGTAACTAAAAATATATTATAAAGAGAATGTTTTCAGGGTAAAAATATGCATCCTAACAAGTCATACAAAGCGCATCATAATCTCTCCACTTTTCACACACCATCAGACCTACCATAACACCAGTACAGGCTGCTGCTGCCTCTGCTGCTTTCCAATGCACTTCTTTCCTTAAAGGACAATTAAAAGTGACTGACAAGTCTACCAAGGGTTTTTTTTTTTAAGGGGGATTCCTCTAGTTTCTCTTTTTTTAATTTTTTCTCACACATCTTGTCTTTCAAATGAGAACCTAGATTAGTGTTTTATAAATCTTTTATCAAGTGCTTATTGTTAATTCTTTCAAAGATTTCTCTCAACAGATACACAACTAAGATATAGAAGGAAGCTATCAGGAGGTATCAAGCTCTTGTAGGAATTATAAAAATGTGTTACAAAGGCTGGCATGGTGGTGTGTGTCTCTAAACCCAGCACTTGGAAGGCAGGAAGATCTCTGTGAGTTCCACATTATCCTAGTCTCAAAAGAAAGAAAGAAAGAAAAGAAAGAAAAAGAAAAGAAAGAAAGAAAAGAAAGAAAGAAAGAAAGAAAGAAAGAAAGAAAGAAAGAAAGAAAGGAAGGAAGGAAGGTATTCTAATTACTGGGTGAGCATGTACAATTCTCAATTTTCTCCATCCTTTAAAATCTTAGGGATATAGGATATATTTTAAACAAGTTAGGACCAGTAATTCAGACTCATTTGAACAATATCCTCCTTAACACAACAGGTATCCAAAGCTCATAGAAATGAAGTCAGTTAGGCAGAGTCCAAGCTAAGATCCTGTGAACAGTCTGCACTGCCTAATGCTCTTGCTACAACCCTGTGTGGCTGCTGGTTCCTCCAAGTGGACCCATAACAAGCACTGCAGTGGGAATGCTGGTTCCTCCCATTATAGCAACTTCTCCATGCTTAACAGAAGCTGATTAGGAGTCAAAACAAACAAACAAAAAAAAACTATTTCATTTCAGTAGTAGAGACTTCCTAGCTCTCATTTGCTAGGAAATCTAGTTTCTATTGTCAAAGCTTCCTGTCAAAGACAAAAATAACACATAAACATTTTAAGTAGATAAGGGGAGTGGGAAGGAAATGGAAAATACAGGTCTTATTATAGAGGAAGCAGAAATTTCTATTTATATGCACTACTTAAAAAGAACTGAAAAGCTGGGCATAGTGCATGCCTGTAATTCCAGCACTAAAGAGACTGAAGGAGGAGTATTGTGACTTTGAGGCCAGCTTGGGCTACATACAAGACTCTAAACAACAAACTGATTAAAAAGACTCCCACTGCTAAACTAACTGCAGTTCAGAAAGTGAAAAATTACTTGAGACTAACATGATAAGGAGCAAAAGTATAAGTAAATCACTTGGGGGAAAAGAATAAAGTAGCAACACTTAGTACAGAAAACACACATCAACCAGCAGAAGCCAAGAATCTTTTTTTCCATTAAGATTGATTTAAGTAGACAAGTCATGCTAGCTAACTAAGAACTTCCTACATAACAAGTATTATGTTAATTCCCTTAAAGATATCCTACTTAAGTGTTAAACCTATATAAGAAAGATAGTAGATTATTTAACACATGGAAATACACATAACTTCCTATTCACGTTTGGCTGTTTTGCAAATAAGAGTTTCTACATCTGACAAATGAAATGACTACAAATATATTCTCTCTGTACTACCAAATGTACTGAAAATGATGAGTAAGTAGACACTGCAGGAATTTAAAGGGTATCTAAAAAATCACCAGGAGTTTAAGGGTTTTTTTTCAATATAAGCAGGAAATTATTAAATATGAAAGTGAAAATTGGCAATTTTATGCTGGGAAGAGTTGACACTAGAAAACAAAATAACAATGTGGATCAGATAAAACACATTACTGGCATGTAAGGAGAACTGTACTACACCTGAATAATTCAAATGTTGAAGGTTTTTAAAGGGGTAGACAACATTAGAAAACAAAATAATGCAACAGACCAACTTTCACTACCACAAGCCATGCCTTTCATTCTTGACTTAATTATATAGCAATAATCAGGCTTCAATTTACTCTAAAAATTGTTTCAATCTACTTTCTATACAGAAATATTTTAAGAGAACTTATACACTGTTAAACTCTAATAAACTTAAGCTCACAGAAAAACAAAAAAGTCACAACAGCAGAATTTTATGTCATATATATGGCACAGGAATGAATATAAGCCCGAGATAGTTGCCAAATTACTGCTTTTCAGGTATCATAATATTTAACTTGATCAAAGAAATAAATTTAAAAACAAACAATCAATCAAAAACCACCAGAAAAATAAAGATGGGAAATAAGACAACCTTTGTACCTTTAAGACATACTGGGATGGGGGGGTCCCAAGTGCTATTAGCACTGCAGACCACTGTGTCAGTGCCCTTCATGTAAAAACCCTCCACACACTCAAACATCACTGTTGCTTGATAGGAAAAATTTTCTCCAAATCCTGATATCTGTCTTCCATTTTGTAGTACTGGAAATGGACATTTTACCACTGAGAAAAGAAAAATTGCACAGAATTTAATTAAAATCTGGTTTATTTTTCATATCAGTTTTCTGAAACTTTTAAAACTACAACCCAAAGTTAAAGAAACATATTTTGTGTTCCAAATATATAAACACACAGCTCCCTCAAAAGTTCACAGTAATACTGAACTTTTATCAGTACACAGGGCATTTTCCGTTTTTCCATATTCCTTAAGAAGTAAAATGAGTTATAATCTATTAGACTGATTCATAGTCTACTAGAAGAATTGTGGGAGAGGGACAAAAATTGCTAGGCGAGGCACTTTAGATATGTCAGACTATACCGTGACGTGAGATCTGAGCAGCAGCTGAGACCAGAGCATGGTCAGCATGTTAAGCCCAAGTGTTCTTCCCATTCCCTGTGGACCTGAACTTCTATCTGGTGTCCTCTCCAGGTCAGTGGGTTCCCTAGTAAGGGGAACAGGGACTATTTCTCACATGAATTCAATGGCTGGCTCTTTGATATCCCTCCCCCCACCCGAGGGAGGAGCAGCCTTGTAGGCCACAGAGGAGGACATGGCAGCCAGTCCTGAAGATACCTGATAAGCTAGGATCAGATGGAAGGGGAGGAGGACCTCCCCTAGCAGTGGACTTGGAAAGGGGCAGAGAGGAGATGAGGGAGGGAGGGTGGGACTGGGAGGGAATGAGGAAGGGGGCTACAGCTGGGATACAAAGTAAATAACCTGTGATTAATATAAAAAATAAAAATTATTAAATAAAAAATAAAGATATAGTCTTGAGAAATTATAGGTTAATGATTTCACCAGTACCTAATAGATAGCATTGTGCTTCAGCCTCAATTAAGAGAATCCAGCTGTTACCTCTCTTGAATGTTAACTGCTTTTGTGGTTGTGTCTCTGACTTTTTTTTTTTCAGTAGAAAAAAAGAATAGAAAAAGAAAATTTCCCCCCTCCCCCATTTGTTCACTGAGTTTCCTAGATTTAAGATTGTTATTTTGTTCCTAGATTTAAGATTGATACTGTTGTTTTGAATCCAATTTTGTTCATTTTTTGGTCAGTACTAATTCAAGTTAAGTTTCAATTATTTTTGAGATAGGGTCTCATTTTACAAGATCACAGGCATGCAGTGCCATACCTAGTTCAAATGATTTCCCATACTGCTCTTTGCTTCTTTTCCTGAAACCCCAATTACATTTACATTTTACTGCTTAATGTTCTTTAAAAGTCTGAAAGCCTATCTTCTTTTAATTCTTTTTTCTTAAATTATGTTGGATTTCTATTGACCTGTCTTCAGGTTAACTAATATTTTAGTTAGCTATATGAAATATATATTTAAAGTTAGGAATATTAGCTATAACTTGAATGTTGTAAAACATACTCTTTCAAGTATGATGGAGGACTGGATAAAAACATATTAAGATGCACACTTGTCTACTGCAGTCTAAACACGGAAAAGTTCTGGAACTCTAAAATTTCTCCAGGTCTGCTTGTGACCCACCCTTCCACAACCAGCCAACCACTGGTCTGTTTTCGATTTATATCCTGCAAGTGGACCACCTGCCTTTCAGAGTGGGTATTTCAGTAAGGCATATGAGATCCAAAAATGATGATTATAAATAAGGAGGCAAAAACACCTTTTTTGTTTACATGTTTTCATTTAATGTGGGTTGCAGAGTTGTGAGGTACATGCAGTGGTTTGAATGCCAAATGGATAGCCTCAGTATTTGAACACTGGCTGGGGAAATTGTGGAAGGTGGAAGTTTATTAAAGGAAGTGGTTCCCTGAAAATGGTCTTTGAAGTTTTATAACCCACTCCCACTTCCTGTCTCTTCTCTGCTTCCTGTTCTACTAAGATGCAAGAAATCCTAGTTATGTAAGCCTGCCACCAAGGAGATGCTTGTCACTCTGCCCTTCCCTCCATTGTGTGAACTGTTAAATGTGAGCCAAAATGTACTCTTCCTCTCTTCATTTGTTTCTTATCAGGTATTCTGTCACAGTGACAAGACAAGTAACTAATATATATTAATATATATTAGTATATATTTATTTAAATGTATGTGTATAAGAAATTTCCAAATGTATTCCACAAAATGCTTGCTCCACTTTGTGTTGTGTCAGTTCCAACTACTACACCTCCTTGCCAGTACCTGGTATTGCTATGTGTGCACGTGTGTGTGGTGGCGGGGAGGTAGTATCTCAAGGTGTATTCAGAAACAGTTTTACTCTCTTTGTCTTTCCTTCCGATAGCTTATTGTTCTGGGCAGGACCACCAGGACAGTGCTGAAGAGAGTGATGAGAGTAGATTTTATTTTAGCTAGATCATTTCTTAATTAGAAAGAAATGAGTTTTTACCATAATGTTGACTATAGGACTTTTGTAGGATATTGTTTATCAATGAAGGGATAATTATTTTCTCCTAGTTTGCTGGATCTTATCATGAAAACAATGAATTGTCAAATACTCTTGGTTAGTTTTTGTAGTTGTTCCTTTTTTTCATCTAATAAAATGACTATACATAGGGTTAGGGCATATACATAACTTTTGATAATGAATTGCATTGATTAACTTAGCACTGAAGCAGACTTGGAACTCTGAGTTACAAGGGCGAGTTCTACTTGGTCATGAAAGACTTCTCTTTTTATGTACTACAGGATTTGATTTTATATTTTATTGGAAATTTTTATTTTAAGGATATTGTTGCTAATTTATTATATTATTTATAATTTTTGGTCTCAAGACAATGCTATTAACTACAAATTTTAGATAAGATACAAATCTTAGATAAGGATTGTTTAGGTATCTTTATTTTCTATAGGTATCTTGTGTCTTTGAGAAATGTCAGTTTCATTTAAGTTGTCAAACTGATAACTGAAACAGTGTGTAATATTCCATTATCATCTTTTTTTTTTTTAGGTGCACTTTTTATTTTTTTATTTTTTTAAATCTTTTATTTTTTTATTAATTACACTTTATTCATTTTGTATTCCCCCATAAGCCCCTCCCTCCTCCCCTGCCGATCCCACCCTCCCTCCCCTTTCTGCATGCATGCCACTCCCCAAGTCCACTGATAGGGGAGGTCCTCCTCTCCTTCTTTCTGATCTTAGTCTATCAGTTCTCATCAAAAGTGGCTGCATTGTCCTCTACTGTGGCCTGGTAAGGCTGCTCCCCCC